CGCACACACACACACACACACACACACACACACACACACACACACACACACACACACACACACACACACACACACACACACACACGCACGCACGCACGCACGCACGCACACACACACACACACACACACACACACACACACACACACACAAGTGAATTTAAGGCAATCCTAGCGAACTCACTGGTAGCTCAACACACACGTACTTACTACCTTTACTCACATTCACCTGGATTGCTCGGCAATTATGAGGAAATTATGAGGGTCTATTTTTCTTTAAAAATATACCGCTGTTTGAAGTAAACGCTCACAGCTGGTTAAAAACAATCATGCGCAGACCACAAGCCATTAATCCGTCAGGTCAGGTCAAATTACAATTCGACCTGATATTTCTATTCACTATTAAATAATCTATATCTTAATTTAATTAAAACTTCTAACAATCAATAAAAACAAATGTGCTAAATTAAAGCTGTTCGATGTATAAAATGATTGTAAATATCTCGATGAATTTACGATTAATCACGACAGTAATATGTACTAGTAGTATCACGGAGTGTGTTCGTGTTCTGTAAATGATCGTGTTTTGAAATGTTTACTATTTGTGAATATCAATAATATATCTCTCTGCATTCAGCACAATCAAGCTCCTTTTTAAGCAACATTTTCTCGAATTCTTCATAATTAATGTTACCATCTCCATTGGAGTCTGCTTTGCGGATCATTTCCTCTACCTCGGCAGGTGTCGCTTTCTCCAAAACGTGGTCCATGACGTGTCGAATTTTAGCCTCGCTAATGAAACCGTCTCCGTTTTTGTCGTATACGCGGAAGGCGGCTTTCAGCGCGTCGCCGCCGTTATTATCTGACATCTTGCGCGACATGGTGCGAATGAATCTCGAGAGTTCGATCATAGCAGTATCATCCGAATGTGTTTCACTGCCCGCTACCATGTGTCTTATATCTGTGTCAGTTGCCGTCTGACCAAGTGCTTTCAGAACTTGTTCAAGTTGATTCATTGTGAGCAGTCCATCATTATCTGTGTCGTATTTGTTGAAAGCTTCCATCAGTTCTGTACTCAGAGGAGTGGCCATCTTAAATAAATATATAGTAAGGCTCGAACGATGGTGGTTTGAACCAAATATTCTATTGCGCCCTTTGAACTTCAGGCCTGACTAGGGTAGCGGAACCTTGAATGAAAGAACATGTCGTATAATCGGGGATGAATATATTAGCCATGAACAGTGTATGTTATTAATTCTCTGTGAGTTTCATATTTATGAAAATATAACGTTGGTGCCACAATACTCACTTAACAAATACACCACGTATATGTATTTACTCACCGATGTGTAACGGCGAACGCGCAGTCAAAACGCAGCACGGTGATATTTTACAAAGGCATGTACAATGTTAACCAATAAATCAATCGAGCTGCTTTGTTGAGAGTACTAGTATAATCTCTCGCCTACACCGTAACCGCCCGCATGTTTGAAGCAACGAGGCGCCATAATGGATTATTTTGTACCGTTGTACATTTCATTTTCCGTTTCAACAAAATTATCTCATAATTCCCACTTTGCCCTAATTTATTTATTTATTTGTTTTAGAATATTGAGGGAATGAAATGCTAAAGTAAACATACGGAGCATGTGTATTCAGCCACACGCAATGCATTTATTATGTAAATGATATGATAAGCTGTAAATGTACAAAAACGTGTTATTTTTCGTCATTTGTGACCTGACAAATCCAATTGCATTTTTTTTTGACGACGCCTCTTTTTCTAGCAAATACACAGCGCTCTTTGATTGCTTCAACATAGAAATACGACCTTTTCGATTTTATAGTATATATTGTACCACTATTGGTCATGTGACCCGTTGTTCTGACTACAGGTTTATTAATAGAAACACTGCGAGAGAGTATTGGTTATCCGATATAACGCCACATCAGAGTCTACGCTATTCAAGAGCACTTCTCTCCGATTTAAAGGACTCCGATAAGTGTGTGGCGTTAGGTTCGATAATCAATACTTTCGAGCACATGTTTTCTAATTATACCACGAAAAAACGGCAATCGGCTGTATTGCCATACATTACTAGAAATTACCCACTATCCTCTTTGATTCGTACCATTGATTCCGCAAAAACGTTTATTGGCTTACTATTTGGGACCACACTAAATTTCTAAGAAATCTGCAGTATTTTTCTTTTCAAATGTACATCTTGTATTCAAACCACACATTTATAACTATATGCAGATTGTAAACCACACACTTGTATTCGTATGCAGATTCTAAACCACAAAATTGTATTTAGTGTAACGTGACGTCATTATCGCTTTGCAGTGATGGGAATGCATACGCAAGCAACAAAGACATTAAATGTGAGGCGTGTGTGACCATTATATCAGCATAAACAGGTCAGGTCTAGTAACTCTGGTCAAACATATGCTGATCATAACAAAGGTTTCCCAAAGTAGTATCAATTAAACTCAAGTGGATTCGGAATTCTATGGCCCATTCATTACCCGGGGTAAAGTTTGACTCTGGCAGGTGTTCAACTAAGGTAGGATTTGAGCCCGGATTTACTAGTCAAGAGTGCTATGCAACAGCCGTTACTCTACAGGTGATCGGTGTTGCGGAGATTTTGGTGGGGGCGCATCCCTTGTAATTCCGCCTACACCCACAACCGTAAAAACACCCCATCACAGATAACCTGTTAATGTTTGTGCTTTCCGAAATTATAACACGTTTTACATCGCATATTATCTGGCCATGACAACGGTAAATATGCATTTACCCTGAGACACAAGCAATCACAACATCGTCTTGCAGGTAACCATATGTTTATTCAGTTTTGAAAACACCGCCACCAAAAATAAATAAATATTCATTGTACTAACTACCTGTGCTCCTTATGCCAGTCGAATATTGATAGATGCTATTAAACTGACAAATTACGGATGTTGTTTTTAACACAGCTGATTTGGGTGATTTAATTTATTATATATGTTGCAATTTAAATGTATTATTTATTAATATATTTAAATTGTGGCTATTTAATAAATGGCTACATCTAAATTACTAATTACCATATGAATAATAGCTGCCATAGGTCAATACTGTATGATATAGTTAGCCAATTATATTAGGAATTCATAGACAGTCATAGTTTGTAACAATAGCCAATAAAAACTTGACCAAAGTGCGAAACACTGTCAAATCCTTGACGGGTTCACTGTTCAGCAAGATGGCGGTACATCCGGGTCCGAGCAGCCATATTTGAAATGAAGTGCAACAAACTACAGTATAGATATTAGCGCCATAGGTCAGTTCATATGTCAATCCTATTGCATCATTTTCACGAATTCTTTGTAATCAACTTGCCCGTCGCCGCTGTGGTCGCTTAGACGAATCCATTTTTCCACATCTGCGTCTGCCATTTGCAGACCGAGATTTGCCAAAACACTGCGAATTTCAGCTGCGCTAATCAGTCCGCTACCGTCTTTATCGAATACCTTGAATGCGTTAGCAAGTTCTTCATCGGTGATAGGCTCTTTGATCTTTTTGGCCATCAGCGCTAAGAATTCCGCGTGATTAATAGCACCGTCGTCATCCGTGTCAACTTCGGCGATCAGTGTTGCGATGTCTGCATCTGTTGCTTCGTGTCCGAGTGTGACCAGTATTTCTCTCAGCTCTGATTTCCTAATATGTCCGTCGCCATCTTTGTCGAATGTTGTGAAGATCTTCGTGAATTCCACAACTTCGGTTTGGGCAAGTTCGTGGGCCATGATACTCTCTCACTGTCGTATCTCTTTGAAACGCAGTAAAACAACAAGTGGTTGCGCTGAGATCAGTTGTGTAGATGGTTTAAATGTAAAGGTATGGATTAAGAACTAAAAATAAATTTGCTAAAAAGTTAATCCTACGAAAAGGGACAACGAACGATGTGTTAGTGCCATTATTTGGAAGTCACAACGCCGATTTTATTTCTCAGCATCATATCAATAACAAAAATTTAAAACAGTTTGTTTATCGTGAGAATTATATAAACCATTAACCCCGTGTAAATAGCTGTTGTAGAGATGGTGACACCTCCACACTCGTAGGCCTGTACACAGAGCTAGCAAACCATATGGGCGACATATTCTCTTCGAGCGCCATATTTTTCCCGCCAAAATGTGGAGCAACGTACAATACATCCGATTCTATGCATCTTTCTATAATTTATATGATTATTTCTTGTTAACAAATTCGGGTAAAATTTGCCAAAACAATAACTGGGTTTATTTTGTGAAAAATGATTGAAGTTGACTGTGGCAACTTATTTTTTCCGAGAATACTAATGACATCAACATGTAACGGTAACTCAAGGTGATTTTCGAGCGGGCATGTGTGCTTTATTTGTCAGAGAGAGAGAAAGAGAGGGATAGAGGCTCTCGACCTATAAGATTAACATCCAGGGACGTAGATTTTTTACGTGACACAGTAATGGCCGCCACGATATCGTTCAGATCGAGAGAGCTACGCGACTTATTTTTCCCATCAAATGTTCTTTTCTAATGTTTCTGAATACCATGGTTAAATAGTTTAATATAGTTTATGGCAACAGTAGACGTGATAACGGGAGACACTGGAACCCATTTGAGATGCAAAAATATGACTTGTGGCTCCCGCGGCGAGATCTCGGTCATTTGCGAATAGGGTCTGTTCTGTTACAACGTACAAAATACGCGATTTATTTGAGTTATGCTCAATATGTTTTGTATCATTAGATAATTAAATAGAATAATCCGCACGTATTTACTTATTCAAAAAGATATCATCGAATGATGTTCATCATGCTCGAATGCGGAGACAGTAATTTTATATAATGATAAACTTTTGAATCGTTAACAACTGTTTTATAATATGCCTCAATTGAAAGGTTGGTTTTAAATGAGGCTTTTATTCGAGTTTCAAATTTATCACACTATATCCCGTTCAAGCTTTCAAGCAAACAAAATAAATTGAACTCACGTGAATTCAAAATAATTCAAATATTGATCGGAACTGTGTATACAAATCACTTGAATAAAACGTAAATACGTTCCCCGGATTAATTACAATACGTATACCGATCTATGCACACACTCCCCAGAGACTCTTAGAACCCCGATAAACACCAAAGTCAATTTTTGGCACCTTTCACAAAACAATGCCATTGAACTTGTAGATTCACCAAAAATCCATAGGTTATATAAAATTGTGTGTATAGGAAATTAATATGTGAGCATCTATCACATCATGCAGCACGATGCGTCGCGCAGGGGTATTCAACTGGGAAACAAAAACTAACTGTTCAATGAAGCGGATAAACATGATCGTTGATGGTAGAAGGTAATTGCTAAATCAACGAAGTACTAGTAATGCGTAAACACGATAACGGCCAGTGTTCAATCGGGCTTGTGTGTCAGTTGGATTTCATCATTTTCACAAATTCTTTGTAATCGATGTGGCCGTCCTTATTTACATCGTGGTTGCGAAGTAATTTCTCCGTCTCCGCAGTCGACAACTTCAAACCCAGATTATTCATGACAAGGAACATTTCTTCCTGACTGATTCTGCCATCCCCGTTAGTGTCGAATACCTGGAACGCACGTGTCAATTCTTCGTCTGTAGTTGGCTCTTTCAATTTCTTAGCCATCAGTTCCAGAAATTCAGCGTGGTTGATAGCTCCATCGCCGTCGGTATCCGCCTCGGCAAGCAGAGATGCCAGTTCAGCTTCGGATGCGTTGTGTCCAATCTTGGCCATGGCTGACTTCAGCTCTACTTTTCTAATGTGGCCATCGCCGTCTTTATCAAAAGATACGAAGATTTTCGAGAATTCGACGACTTCTTGTTCTGACAATAAATGAGCCATAGTGATTCAAACTCTGGTTAGGTTAGTTCTCTTGTTGATGCGGAGTAGCAAAAAAAAAACATGTAGTGGTTTCAACTGTCAGTTCGTCAAATAAATGATGACGAAAGTTTAAAAAAGTACCGGTATAGATTACATACATTTGTGGTTATAAATAACACTCTTATAATAAACAAACAATACAGTGGCCTCATCACCCACAATATACAAAATATAGTTCCCACTATGAACTCAAATATGCTGGATTCCTTTAACGACCCTAGTTTGAACACAAACACAAAAATCAGGAAAAAAATGATTAAACTGAAATTTTTATTTCGCGGGTGCATTATCTGCCCTGGCAAAGGAGATATCAAGGGTCACGTACATTGCGTAAATAAATCATGCATTTAATACTAGATTATGATATGTACACAAGGATTATATTAAATATTATTGCTATTATCACGTGGCATATTCCGCGTCGTCAAAACCTAAGCAATATCTGAAAAAAACACCCTTTTACACGCTATGACTAAATACTGGTATACAAATGCGAACTTGAACTACAATACGTTTAATAATTCAAATAAACCGAAACCAACCTGATGCGGGGTCATTGATAATGTATGCATGAAATGTACGTGCTCGCTATTATGTCAAATTACGTGTGCAAAATGGCGCTGCTAAAAAAAGGTGGTTTTGATAAAGCGAGTTTTGCGACTATTCGTGTGTTGAACGTGAGCGTAAACATTAGTAGCGTAGGTCACGATTACGAAGCCTCATTAAACCATAGATCTCTTTTTAAAGTCTATGATTAAACCTTGAACTGACGTAATCGTAAAACGTCATTCGGCCATTCATCGTATGAAACAAATCAAATGTCGTCAGTGTGCGCAGACGATATCTACAATTGCAACACAAAATTGGGTAAGGCTAATTGAAAAATCGAGAATCAACAAATCAAGAATCAACGAATCAAGAATTGTGCAATAACTATTTTTAATTGCTATTTTTTTTTTCTTCAAAAATTAAGAATAAGGAAATCCAACAAATGTCATTCATGCATGCTAGCTTCAGGCTTCATACTTAATGATTTACGTTGGTTTAATTCCAATCAAAAACTGTCAATTACAAAGTGCAAGGGCGGTAGACAAAAGTGTTGGATCAGTGATACATTCTGCTTTGGAAGATTCAAGAAATAATATTCGTAGTAAATATACACACACACAAGATACTGCGCTATTATATCTATATTTAATTTCTTCACCGATTTGACACGTACTGGATATTCTCGGGCGGACATCCGGGCATTTTCACCGCATGGCAACCATCACGGTGAAAACAAAGGCCGAAAACTCTCAGAAAACGGTACTTCGGGATGGTTATTGCGACTCCCCTGAACAGTGTAACAAAATTACCCCCTGCATGTGTAACGCATTTGATTGTTCAGGATTACTTCAAAGTTGAGTTCCAGTTGTTTTCTCAAATTTTCACCGGCTCTTCGCTCGGCGTTCCGCGTTCCCTAGAAGCGCGCACAGAGCCCTTAGAAATACGCGGTACAGTGGTGCGCGTCTTAGCAACGTGGAATGTCTTGTGATGTAGCTCCGCCCTCGAGGATATTGATGAGAAAGCGGTAAGCACATGAGAGTTGTAAACAATATTTATCAGCGCCGCCACCGATGAATTGCATAAGATCGCGTGGTGGCAGAGATTTATTCGTAGAAATAGAACTCTGCCCGGGAGATTGAGACAGGGTATGACACAGCACATTCCATTTTCGGACACACCGCGTACCAGACTTCTCGTTCGCAAACATTATTTAGCACCTCGTCATTATTTTAAATATTACGTATTTTTTATATAATCGTTTTGATTTTTTTTTTTATAAATAGTTAAAATACAGAAATAACCCGCATTTTTCATGAACATATTGAACATTTTGCTTGATCGAGCCAAATACAACGCGTACAAATAGAATGTATCGTGTCCAGCAATTGGTTGACCACATTTGTATGCGTTGTATTTGGCTCTTCGTTTCACCCGTCCGGAATGTTCTACTTTCGCTGTCTAATCGCAGGTTTTTCAAAATCGTCGAAAAAACACAAGAATTAGTAGAAATGTTCCTGTTTTGGGCGGATTATTAGTAGAGAATAATGTCTTTATTACAAAAATGTGAGTTTTTGCCTTAGTTATTTTTTTATCGGCAAAAAACTGCGAACTCGGCAACTTTGGTTGCACAACTTCCCTCTATCACATACACCCAGCGACACCGTTGCCAGGTGACTGCGCGCGTCACGTCTTGCCTTCTGCTCTGAGCATTCCGTGAAGGAAAACATTTTGTGATTGACAGTTTTAGATTCGAATTAAACCAACGTAAATCATTAAGTGTGAGAGTTGAGGGTAGCATGCATGAATGACATTTTTTGGACATTATAATTTTTAATTTTTGAAAAACAACAAACGCTATTTCTTGCAAATAAAATAGCAATTAAAAATTGTCATTGCACAACTCGTGAATCGCTGATTCTTGATTCTTCATTTAGCCTTACCCCACAAAATGCATGTCTTGGCTGGGGATGTTCAGTGATTTGTTATGAATCAGAAAAAAAATATTGCGTTCCAGAAGCCATTGCAAAACTATTTCAATACCACAATTTTTAAATACACACGTCGATATTTTCTGTTTTGTTTACTTATTTGTGTGTGTGTGTGTGAGTCGAGCGCTTCATTGTTCACATAATATAATGCCTAGTGACGTCATACCAAACGTACTCTTAAATGATGTCTTCGCCGGACATGTTGGCGGATTTGTGAACACCTGAAGTAGTGCATTATTCGCAGTTCCGATATTCGCGTCATCACTATATTGATACAATAAATTAGAAGGCTTCATTGAAGGAACATTGTTCGCAGCAATGGCTGAACCTAATCGTATTCGCCCGAAACGGCGTGTTAATGAAAACATTCCTCTTCAAATGAGTTTAATTTAAAAATCACAGACTGGCATTCGCCGCAAACAGCGAATTATCTTAGAGCGATTCAAACAGCTCCAGAGAAAATTTTTCTAGTCCATGATTAATGAGATATGAAGAAGATATGAAATGTTCAATTGAAAATATGCAGATGAACACCTTTCAAATAAAAATATGCAGACGAAGGATACATCATTCAGGTTGTGAAGAAATTCAAATTATTTTTTCAGGTAACTATTTGTTCTAAGGTTGTCGACATCAGTCTAAAATTTAAATAACTGGCAAGAGGTTTCCGCCGTCATTTCATGGGTTTTTAACATGAATATGAAACATGACGTTTATTACTGTCGCAATTGAGGTTCAAATCAAACAAAACATATACGAATCTTATCTTATCATATTTGTACATTATCACAAAGTATCATTGAAATCTAATGATTGATTCTTGAGATATTGGTGAAACAGACACACATATCCATAAATACAGATACCTACACAGATGAACTGCACTGTAACAACTCCCATTGTGTGCCCTTCACAATGCAATCAAATACACGTTTTGTCATATGCAAATTATTGCACTCGCCGGGGGCTTGATGACCCAAACCGACAACAGTTATTCAACTAACAGATTTTCAGATTAAGATTTAGATTTCCCACCAAAAACCGTTCAGGTCTAGCATCGCTTCTAAATAGATACATACCCAGTTGTATGTAATTCTTGTTATACCAAATAAATGCATCTCAAAACTAGGTGAAGAGGGACAACCTAATTTGCACAGTAGTTCCACCCTTCAGATAATTAAATGGTTTGCGTTTTACTAAAACAAGTGACCTCAAGGTTTGAAATGATTCATTGTCTATATAGAGTGTCTTTCATGAACAAAATTGACAATGTTCTATATGGTGATATATTAGTGATTTGTCATGGATGTTCAATTGCAATTGTAATTTTTCAGAGGAAAAGATATTTAAAAAGAAAATGGATAACGTGCAATATTGCAACTCTCAATTTAAGAATATAGGGTAAAGGTACGTCCTCTGTTTGCTATCTCGTAGTGATGTTTGCGTGTTTTTATTTGTATAATTAGCTTAAAGATTTTGTGGTGACAATGCATAATTGTCAGACATTAGCTAGAATTGTCAGTTATATCATGTGTTTTGCATAATTAGTTGCAAAATACTCTGATATGTCATAAAACATGATTATAAGTTAACATTTTCAGTTCAGCGTTTGTTTTGTTGGTGCTTTTTTCAATAAAATATCATGGGAGTGTTTTACTAAATGGCGAAATAAACAAGGGACTTGTGACTCTTTTGACACCGGTGATGATCGTCATTGTTCGGGTTTCAGTGCGTAATGCAATTATTGACAGGTTCATTACTATTCCATCAATCAGCGTTAACTCGTCAAAATTGAAATTAGATTCGTCTTGACAGAAACCTCGCCGAAACTAAAAATCCGCACGCGTGCATTCCACATTACTCTTTGAAATTTGTAATGATAGCATTGCAACACAGCGACGAAAGATACCATCGAGAGGTTGTTCATGCGTGGCGTTATTGAAATGCTCATTAATATTAATGAACCTTTAGAAAGGTCACAACTCTCTTGTTTATTTTGTGGTAACCTGACTTTCACCAATTATACACTCCCATATTTCATTATTTAAAATAACACCAACAAAAATAAACAAGTCTACATTTTCAGTTATATTCGCAAAACAAGGATACTTGCATAACAATTTGCTAATTATTTCCGTGATGTTTGCACATGGTTTGCATAATTAGTTGCTAGAAAATGTCATAGCAGTATTTATATGATTAGTTATTTGAAATCTCCTTGTATTTGCACATTGTGCACAGTTATTTATATTTACAAACCACGGCGATACTTGCATATGGTTTACGTAATTAGTTGTTAAAAATAATTTCTAGAAAAGCAGAATGAAATATGCATAATGTTTTTTGCTGGTTTTGCATGCTTAGTTTTTGACTCCCGTATGCGAAGCACATATTGATAGCCTTTGCCGTTAGTGTGTGTGTATGTGTGTGTCCGTGTCCGCCTGTTCCACTGATATCTCAAGAACGATATGTTTTTTTATGATACTTGATGCATAGATGCTTTGAGCTAATGCGCAGTGTGGGGTTAAATTCATGCATATTAATTACCTAATTTGCATGATAAGCAGTTAGTTTGTAGCTGTATATAGCTGTAGCTGTATACATTAATATCTAAAGAACTCCCATTCCGTTTCAATAAAACTTGGTACATAGATGCTCCAGGGCAATACCTAATAAGTTTTGGATTAATATCTGCGCATATTAATTACCTTATTCGCATTATTAGTATTTGTTTGGCTCTTTCTCTGATATTTCAAGTACTAATCATTCGAAATCAATGAAAATTGGTACATAGATACCCTAGGACGGACCTATTTTATTTCTAAACTTTCTTTGATGACAAAATTGTCGTTATAATTGTGCATAATTAGCAGAAATGAATTGCGTAGTGTTTGTGCATGATGATATTTTTACAAATTTCAATGATATTTGCATGTTTTGCTTAATTAGTTGCTAGAAAATCTAGATATTTGCAATTTAGAAATGTGATGATATTTGCATATGTATTCTATAATTAGTTGCTAGATATAGTAATCTGTACATGCATGTTTTGCATAGCTAAAACAAAACTACATTGATGTTCAATCAATTATATTCATGCGAGCTTTCAACAAAGTCGATAAAACGAAAATATTTCTTGAAGCCTTTGTCTGATATTTCATTGCTGATTTACCTTTTTTAGTTTGTTGTTGCTATTGTATTTATGCTGAATGCAATTTTATTTTTTGTCCAACTTTAAAATTGGACATACTGTTTAAGTAGTGAATAAATAAACACTGCTAAGACCTGACGTATGATATGTATAATAGATAATATTTGGTGATCGTTGTTCTAAGTAACTATTCAAAATATTTGCTGTCCTGTAGTTTATTAAATGACAATCAAGTAACAAAATACACAAACTTGTTGACATTTTTTTCGTTAGCGACTTTTTACCAAAAACATTACAGTTCCTACATAAAACGAAAATCCCTCCTATCATTTGTTTACTAATTTTGTATAAATTGATTAAAAGGTTAACTAAACAATTACACCCAATTCATCTTCTTAGCTAATGGTGGGATAACAACATACACTGCTAGTGATGCTTGACAGATAAATATTTGATTTTGAATAGCGTGAAATCATGAACAAGTTTTAGTCCCATGGCATAAATATTTATAAAAACATGAGCTGTTGATTGTGTACATAATGAATCAAATGCAAACGTGTCTGCTAGTTTTTGAACATGTAATAAGGTAGACTATCACATGTACAGGAAACCTTCAAATTGTATATGTTGTAAAAACATAAAAATGGTTAAATGGCATTGCGGATCAACAATATCAAGTTTGGGAGGCCACAATATGTGTATGATCAAGTGTTTCCGGTCCAATGCCATTGATTAGTATACACATAATTACTTATCAACGGTATCTTACCTGAAACAATTTAATAGTGAAATATAACAAACTATAACGTGTTATCCCAGCACCATTAAATGCATACTAGTCATTTTTCATTATTATATTCATCTAAAGCAACGTAATGTAAAAGAAGAAGTGTGTACACTTGATAATATTGTTCTTTTTATCTTTTAATGTATTCTTGGTCATGGAAAATCGTTGATCGAAAGCCAGTTGTTTTCGTTTTTTGTCATGACCTACTGTCATCAATATATACGTATAGTGAATGGACACACAGACTCATGTTTTCAGGCTCAATTGGTACACATATCTCGCGATGTACGTGTGTTATTTGATTCTACGCCACACCAAAGGATTGAACACATTGTAGGAAAAGGCAGTGAGTTGGATGGATAGAAATGGCATTGTGTTCACTATGTGTCAGAACAGAAGAACTATGCCCGGGGAAATTTGCCCACATCACCTGGAAGACTATTCAGGAGCTGACGATGTTACAAGAAAAATCGCACAATGAGCCTGCATGTGCCAATTATGATATTTAGTAATGAAAGTGTAGTCTGGAATAATTCTCTACCAAGCACCACAGATTCAATAACGATCAAGTCAGCTTTACTGTCACGAGTATAATAATTGAATTCTCAGGGAATGTTATTTGCCTTCCATCATTCTTGCAAACTCCTCATAGTCGATTTGGCCATCACCATCAGCGTCGGCATCGCGAATCATATCTTCCACTTCTTTATCAGTAAACTTGTCGCCAAGCTCTGCTGTAACCTGACGAATTTCATCAGCGCTGACAAAACCATCACCATCCTTGTCGAATGTACGAAAGGCATCAAACAACGAGGGTTCTTCCTCACTAACTAATATTGTCACAGGATTTTCTGGCTCTTCCTCCTGCTCTTTCGTCTCTTCTACTGTTTCCTCTTTTTTCTTCACTGTTTTGGCTGTGTTCTCTGCCACGTCATCTCCACCTTTCACTTCTGCTTCTACACATTTTTTTTCCATGGTAACTTCATCTTTGTCATCTTCTTCTTCATCTTCGTCATCCTCAGTGCAACTAGTATCACTACTAGTGTCACTGTCACTTCCTAACAAGGTGGTGGCCATCATTTCGATAAACTCATCCATGTCGATCCCACCGCTGCCATCCCCATCCACCTCATCAATACACTTCCGGAGGTCCACTGTTGAAGGATCCAAACCCAGGGACACCATAACTGAGCTTACTTCATCTGCTGTAATACTTCCATTGCCATCTTTATCAAAGAAGGCGAAAGCTTTTTTGAACTCCACAATTTGTTCTGCTGATAATTTATCAACCATTTTTGTAACCAGTACAAAAACAACAATGGCCGATGTTTACTATTTTAAGTCATGGAAGGTAGGAGAACAGAAATATGAATATTCATATTGCTTATCTAGCTAGCGCATAAGAAGATTATTAGGTAGGCAACATGCTGGCATGTATTGATGCGAGTAGGGCCTTCTATTTTTAACATAAGAGTTAAATCTACTGAAGCTTCCCAGATTGACGGACACGAGGTCCAATAAAGGTGAATAATTTGTCTCTTTTATTTCTTCTGTAAATCCGAAACCATTATACAGTAAAAAAATTCGACCAATAAATTGAATAGATTATCCCTGGAAGATCGGAATACCGAGATTGTAAGGTCCTGCAATCCTGCAGGCAGGCATTATATTTATTGGAATTATGGCACCCCCGGGGGGATGGATGGTGTAGTTTAGCTGTAGCCACGCTGAAGCAATAAACTAGAATTGCACATTTATATGTATTGTTCAAATGCATGATTTGGATTTGTATTGTATGTCACCAGAAAATAGGCATTACATTTACTGTTATGTAGTTATAAAAACAGCCTGGAATGAACTCCCATGTGCTGAGATTATTGAAGGCATATTTGTAGTGATTCAAAAATTCAGACTGGCCTTTCAAACAAGAAGCTTTGCGACTAATGTTGGTCTGATATTTGAGATGCACAACATAGATACAATGTGATGCACAGTACTGAATTTAATATTACAAACATTTTTTGAGATATCAGAAATTACTGGGTAATAAAGTCAGTTCATTTTATTATTATGCAAATTAGGCAATTATTATACCCGGATTTAAACCCAAAACTAATCAGGTATGCACATTGTCCCCAGGCCCCCTGTCCCAGGATATGGTGATTAGTTTTTTTAAATAAATTAATTTAGGTATTATCACAGTTTCATTAAAATGATGATTAGTACCTGAGATAGTGGCAGAAAAGAAGACAATTATTATGAAAATTAGGTAATTGATATGACTTTGTTTGATTTTGACTGATCACGTACATGCACTGTCTTCGACCATCTATGTACCAAGTGTCCTTCGAAATGTGGTGATTAGTATTTGAGTTATGAGTAGAAAATCCAAAGATTATTGTACAAGTTAGGTAATTAACATGCACAGATTTGTACCCAAACTGGTCAGGTCTGAGCGTTGTCCCAGAGCACTTATGTACCAAATCTGACCAGTGGTTCTTGAGACATATAAAATATATACATACATCCACCACATGTTGCGATAAAAATCCAGGGCTGTTTAACATGCCCTGAGGTAAGGAGATGCACACAAGACTGAAAAATGATTTCTTCCCTAATTAGACGTTTCCAAATATCAGACCTTTTGTCCATAAATGATCTTTCCCAATGCGATTTTGGCCCTCTATAGTTGAGATTATTTTCCTTGATCAACGTCGCCACTATTACAGACTGTCTATGTCTATGCTGTACTTATGCAATGCAATGCCAACCAATTTTTGTATGGTCAAATTTTCTTTTTCATGAGTTTTGCTGTCCATTGAATTACCACACGGGGCATTTTATTCTCATCTACCAGAGAAATGATGCTCACATTATATAATATGGGATATTATAATTGCTGCATAAGTTTAAAGTGCCTGTGCAATGCCCACCCTCACGTTTCCCATTTTAGATCTGTGTTCCACTGAAAAGGGTAGTTATTGATTTTTTTTTGCTGAAAATGATTACTCTTATCCAAGTAAATTTGGGATATTTCTCGTGTTGTACCCACGCCCACCTATCGTGAAACGGTCGACTGTTTCCGGATTTCCGACTCTCGCCGAAAGTGCGCCACCAAATGACAAAATGTGAGAGGAAGTCATACCCCTGAGCCGTAATAACACTGGTCGTTCAGTATACTTTTAAACGATATACATTTTTCGGTCGGCGTTTTTTCTTGTTTTTTGTCTATTTATTTATTTTTTTGAGAGAGAGTTTTTAGATGTTGTGTTGTGGGCAGTTGCAGTGAAACGTATAGCCATAGCGTATGTATTCACACGTTTCTAATCGATCCGAAGGTGCGACATCACTTAAACTTAGATTCTATTTTGGGGGGGAAAACTGTCCTCGTCCATAAAAAAAAACGACTAGGTTTAAAAAGAAACGTCGACAACGTAAACCTGGCGCACACTTTTGAAAGAAATAGATTCCGGATCTGCTCATGATCACCGAGGCGG